TTGGTCATAAGTCGCATGAAGCTGCCTGGACTGTTACAGAGCCCTTGTGACAGACAATTAAATTCATACAGGCCCATGGGAGGTTAAGTCCATTGCACTAAAGATGGCATTACCTCCCAAAATCAGTCTGCCTGATGAGGCAAGTGGTGGGCATCCTTAACAGTCCGAGTATTCAGCCAACGGTAGTCCACACACCCGAAGATCTCCAGTCTTCTTCCATACTAGCACAAGTGGTGATGTCCTCAACCGCCACAACAGGGAAGAAATCGGCTATTTTGGAGTTCCTTTTGAGTGTGATGGGCTTATCAAGAGAGTTTATGACCCTAACTGGGACCCATCCATCACCAGACATGGAGGCTACAACTCTTCCCACCATGATGCTTTTTTTGTGGGTCTGCGCATTGGGTGGCTCAGTCACAATGGTACTACCCATAGAAACAGGAGCGTTCAACTGAAGCTTGCCACACACAAGGTGTTCTTGCTTGGGCAACAGAGTGGCAGCCTGGGTCAGTTTTGCAGTGCCCACAATAACAAGAACTTTGTCACCCTTCCACCTGTTGATGCCCGACAGCATGTTCAGAAACTGCTCAATTTCAGGGTCTCCAGTTGTCTCAGGATGGTTCATGACATTCCAATAGCCAGTTTTGCTTGATCTGGGTAAGTAAGTTATTATTTCTCAGAATTAACTGATCTTCCTGTTCTGGCACAACTAACATAGGTATGCTCACTAACTTGCTATACACATCTTTAACTGGTACATTCCACTTGGTTTGACTTTAATACCGGCACAACCAAAGAGGAGAAAGTCCAAATGTGACTGGTCAACCTGTGCAGACATCACTACACTCAATAATTCATGCTCTGTTTCTTCATTAATCATGCATGCCATGGTTCCGCTATCTAGTAGAGCTTGGACTGTGACTTTATCATGTATTAACACTGATGTATAGAACAGACTATCAGCCTTCTCCAATTTGGTGATGTTATGAAATAAGAAAATACTGTCGCTGGAGACAGAATTGAAACACTCATCGTAAACAGATAAATGATCATCATCCATAGTGAGGGTTTGATTCTGTACACTCACATAGTCCCCTCCCAAATGTTAGTGCATCAGTGCGGTCTGTCACATTTTTTCTTGATGACCGCAAAAAGAACTAAAAATACTCCATAAATTTTGATCGTACTAATAAGAGTAAGGCATCATTTTAAACTGCAAAGGGTCTACTTTTATTTGTGTATAGTCATAATTACAACAAAACAATGTGCTTTTGTAAAATAAAGAAAATAAACAGGATGCATTTTCTGACATCTTGGTCTCTGTCAACTTTCTTCACAGACACGTAAATAAAACAACCTGAATATCAGTGAATACTTGCCTCACAGACATGATAAATATATGTATAGAAAGCCATGTCGAAAACAAATACTCTATGATAAAGTAATCCATATGAAACCAATGCGAGGTCCAGTCTTTCCCGTCGGAGCTCATTATTTGTAATGTGGTCACACGATGAACAGTGCACACTATTCAAAATATAATCACCCAAGTGAGACGCGCGAACATGTAAACACCCACATCACCTCCGTAAGCAAAGCGTGAAGATTCATCTCGGCTACTTTTCATTTCTGGAAGAAGAAGCGCTGAGAGGAATAGGCCTTGTATTTACCTCAGAAGAAGAATGCAAGGCGAAGCGCGGCTTGATCCAGCGGATGAGATCATTTCTGACGAGTAAGTCATTTTTTATTACTTGCATTAGTTGTTATTGTGTTATTGTGACGTAACTTGCACACATTTTACTAGTTAGACTTTTCTCAAACTATAATTCCTGACTACATGTATGAAATCAAGTAAAAAAAAATTGAAATATGTGTCATTTCATTGCATCGAATGTCTCATGACGCTAGGATGTTTTTTAATGTTCTATAAAATATAAAACTATACGATATGAATGTAATATGAGTGTTTATACTGTAACACTATGAATGTTAAGAGTCTAAGAATGTTTAGACCAATGTTTACTGTGAAATACTCTGTTCATGAAAATATGTAGATGTTTATAACGTGTTTAACAATAATAATTTATTTTCCCAGATATAAAATGTATTTGTATGGCATAATACATACAAAACATATTTGTGTTTATGACTACAAAATCATGCTTTCTTTTTTTATTTTTTTGGTGTCCAGATACCTTGAAGATTTATCTTCAAACTGTTTTCCCCTGAGAGTGCTGTATCAACATCAGATGTTGTTCAACTACATTGGGCTGATATTCTACATGAATATGGTTTACTTGTTTCAACATTTGAACAGCAACTGTTTTAAGAATTGGCACAAAAGTGTGTGATATGGCGTTATTTTAATGACAAATGTCAAGAGCGCATTATTGTAGCGCGAAAGCACATTAATATAATGCGTGAGCGCGAATCTCTCCACGAGCGCGCGGATTTCTTTTGCTCTCGTACAAAACCGGACGCGCACGCTCAGATACACGCTGCTCTCACCCGGAGAGAGTGCGCGCACTTATAACGTGAACTATTTAGATATGGGCCAGATGCACTATTCCCTAAACCGATACTTACGATTTGGAGACCAAATATAACACTATAATTAATTTTTCATATTTGCCATAACATTACTACATTCTATTCTATGGGGTTAATGCATTTGCAGACAATCTAATTACATGTGACTGTCATATAACTGTCATTGAATGTGTAGCTAATATTAAGTGGATTTTCATGAAAGAAAAAAAAAACAAAAAAAACATCAGAACTGACACCAAACACTGGATTTAAAAAAAGAACTCCCAATAAATGTCCAAACAGCGATGCTATTAGAGAATTTATTGTATTATATCGTGCATCATTTACATCTATTTTTGCATTTGATGTTGATTTGAGGAGTTGTTACTTATTATTGTCATCATACCAACTGAGAATTTATTGCAATGTTTTTAAATTCAGTTGAGGTATCTGACATATGACATAACATTGATTTTTTATATGAAGTCTTTAGAACCATAGGCTATAATATGTTGTTTTTATGTACACAAAGTAGCCTACTTTACAAAGAGATGCATATGTGCATTCGCAGAAAAGATCAAAATACAAACATAAAAGAGATATAGTAGAACAAAGTAGCTACAATAACCAGTTTATGTTAAAGCAAAAATACAACAATAAAAAATCAAGGAAAGGCCCTGCACAAATCTGTTTTGAGACTACTTTTTAAAAGTGCATAATGATAACTTTTGACAACGTTTAATTCAGGTGCGAAAATAATTAATATCTATAGTGCATGAACACAGAGATTTGAGAGTGCACAGGACACAGTTTGAGTGAGAGGAGATACATGTTTTAAGTGCGCGCGCTCTCTCCGGGCGAGAGCAGCGTGTATCTGAGAGCGCGCGTCCGGTTTTGTGCGAGAGCAAAGGAAATCCGCGCATGAGCAGAGAGATTCGCGCTCACGCATTATATTAATGTGCTTTCGTGCTACAATAATGCGCTCTCGACATTTGTAATTAAAATAACGCCATAGTGTGACTGTTCAAGTCTCTGTGTTTAGATCTGTGTGCTCAATAATGTGTCTTTGACTTTCTCTGAGTATATTTTGATTATACTGTGTTTTAAATAAAGTAAAATGAATCAAAACCCCAATTATTTTAGCCTCCTCACATTCTTTCTTACCCGCCTCACAGTCACAGTCACACTGATGGGCCATTATGGGAGGCCCTTTGTCTCTCAGGTGTGAATCACTAAATATTCATGGCCATTGTCACTCCCTCGCATACGGCCTTTCTAACACAAAACATGTCTTACAAAAGGTAGATCAATATATTGTTTTTTGTGAATGAGTGAGCAGGATGATTGTCACATAATTTTATAGCACAAACTCTAGTCTACCACATCCAGTCCTCAAAATTCTTGTGAACAAATATTCTGTGTGTGTTTTATGGCCTTATTTCCATTACTTAAAAATTGTAGTTTTTCACTAACCACGCATAAACGTTGTTTTCTCAAAAACATAAACATGTACATTCATGCTGCTCACATATTATTGTAGCCCAGTTTGTGCTGAATACAGTGTAATCGGACTTTAGACATTAATGTTTTTAAGATACTGAAAAAAACACAAATGTCAGGACATGTCAAAACTTCTCCAGGGCCCCAAAACCACCTCAGACCCCAGAAGGTTAACTGTGACAAGATGATTGACAGGCCAGTTTATAGTGACAGGGTGCGTGTAACAGGTGCAACAGAGCGGTCCTTTAAAGTCGCAATTGTATGACGTGATAGTATGTCTCAAAGCTTGCCTACTCTTCTACTACACACTCAAAAGTGTGTACTTTTTCTTCACCAAAAGAGTACATACTTTAAGGGCATAGTATAAGTAGGCACACTGAGACGCAGCATGTGTCTCCCTCGTACTGCTCGTTGCACATCACACAAAATGTCCGAGAACGAGAGCGCATGGGCATTTCCCCATACGTAACACACACAGCACCACCTACTGACAACTCCAGACAAATACAGGTATACACTGTTTCTTTTGACTTTGTAACTTACAGAACACAGCAAATAACAATGAAATAATAGGTTTAAACATGCAAAGAGAAAAACAAAATTTATCCTATTTACCACCCGGTTACACATCAATTCAAAATACATTGTTTTACAAATAAATTAATTAATTGTTTTGCTGTAAGCAAAACCATATATGAGGATTTTTTGTGTTTTTTGTTTTCCTACTATTACATTCAATATAGGAGTGTGTATACGTGCAATTTTTAGCTCATAGACTGTATTCCCTTTCAGCGGATCCTCAAGCTGATTAGAACTGTTTTGCATGATTTTGAAACATCCTGTGGTTGCTGCATCTTAGTTCTGAGAAATCATATGTAACATCCGTATAGGTGCCAGTTGAGGGGGAGGGGAATATCTATATATAATCCCCAGAGAGGTACAGTATAGGTTTTTGTCTTCTCACTGCAGAATCTCTGTATGTCAGACAACCTTCTTGCAAGAATAAACGTCCTACTTTTCGTAGTTCGAGTTTTATTCCACCTCACCACAAAGTTGGAAAATATTTTTCCACAACAAGAGTGACACTGAAGGTCTTCTGGAAGGTTTGATACATTCAATCCAGCGATAACCATGAATTTCGTGTGAGTTTAAATTTATGTGTTTTCTATATAAATTATGTAAGGGATAATCCATGGCTATACCGTGGTCACTCGGCAGTAACACGTTAGCTAAAGCTGTTAATGATGTTTGCAGTGCAATATTTGACCGTAAGGGTAAAATTGATGGTTATTTTCATCAGTCACATATAATGTAGCGATTTAGTAACAAAGCTGTTTTATTAATAAAAGACTTAGTGCAGTGCTTCTGAATGTGTGTGCATTGTGATCTCAGATCTCTGTGTGAGATAGATTTTATGAAACATATCAACAGATGAAACGTACTGTATATTGTTCTTTATAGGTTTATATTTAAATTCACTAATAATATAGGTTTTATGACTTTGTTCGCCCAACGTTAGTATTATATTTAACACTGATGAAAAGCAGGGTTGTTAATATAAAGGTACTCATTGGCTTAGATGCTTAACATCTGAGCTTGCACAATAAGCAGTGTACAAATATCTAATATTTGGATTTTTCCTGTGGCCATATACAGAAAGATGAAGTCCTAACACTAGCATCAGGGGTAGACTGAGACTAACAAAGTGGACCTGCTTTTTTCTGTTTGCTTGTTTTTTTGGCACTGAGCAGTCCATGGTACACAATACAGAAACATATAGTTTAAATATAAATGATATTAAAAATTAATATTTTTTATGCTTATCATTAACTTTAAAACATGACTGGCATACTTTGTTAGAATTTGTCTAGTCTTCACTGGTGTACATCAAATAGAATTTTAAAAGAATCTTTATACAGACCTTTTTCATACAAGAACAGTTTATTTTCAGTTTATTTATTATAACTATAGCCTACCATAAAATCAGTCAATACGACAAAACGCCCTCGTATGGAAAATTTGGAATTTAGTGCAGAAATCATGTGGACTGTCTTTATGGTGCATAGTATTTGCGCATGTTGGGTCTTGACAGACCCCATAAGTCTCCTGTCATTTTATGTAATAAAGCATCAATTGTGAAACAAAGTGTAAATGTTCTTGAAAAAAATTGGGCCACATGGGTTTGGAATGATGCAAGGGTGACTTGCCTACATAATTATAATTTTTAGATTCATTAGACCTATCCCTTTAACGTTTTTAGGTGAATTAGCTGTTTACTTTTTTAAGCACAGAAGTCATGAACCTATACTGACTCAAACTGTAATTAGTTGTACTAACTTCTTATTAGTGTTCACATTACTAGGAAAATATAAGAAAACCCATTGCCTTAAAATGATCAAGTAAGCTGAAATAAAAACATGAATTAAAGACATTAAAGGTGCATTACGCAATATTTGAAAAACGCTTTTGACCACAGTGTCGAACCGAGTCCCAAAACACACTAGTCTAGTAATGATAGGGAGAAGAGAGTGCTCAGTGAGTGCACAGGGATGGATATTAGCAGATCACCTATAGGAAAAAGATATTGGAGGAACAAAACATTAAAAAGAAGAGTTACGATCAGGCAAGAGGTAGGACCCACGTAAATATTGGAGCAGCTTTCCAGCGGAGCTGAACCATTCAAGCGTTAAAACACACACTACTACAAAACACATTCGACCTGAATTACCATAGTAACACACATCGCTTTCACTTATTGATGACATCATACCCTCGGCCGGCAGGCATTGCAGATCATCGTTGCTGCCTGGGTTCTACGTACGTGTGGGGCGGAGTTATCAAAATAGGGGTGAGGTCCTGTTGGGGTATGGCCATGTTTGTTTTGGTGCTTTCAAATATCAACATAATTAGCCAAAATACGCTTAGTGCACCTTTAAGTGTTTTATTAATGAGGCCCAATAAAAAAATTAATAAAACATAAAAATGTTCATAGATTGAAAACATGCCACCAAAGATCAGTAATGCAATTTTGCTATAAGCTTGATTGTAGCATATAATAATTGCTGTTATTAGTGTTCATCGTCTGTTTGATTACGTCTTTAATGGATTTTTCTGTACATTTCTGCCATATGTACATTAACTGACAGTCACCACTGATAAGCTACTACTAAATATATTGTAGAAACTTAATTTTCTGTAAAGCTGCTTTGCAACTATTTGTATCGTGAAAAGCACTATACAAATAAACTTGAATTGAATTGAATTGAATGCAAGACTGTTGATTTTGATTAGCACAATCTAACACAATCGTACAATTTGATAAAAAAAAACATCACATCCAATGTTGCTGTGCATTGCTTCCATATTTAGTCTGATTATTACATGATTGATTGCTGCATAATAAGCAATTATAAGTGATAAGAAATGACATATGAAATAAGTGATTAAAAATGGACAAACATGAGCTGACTCTCATGTGCTTCTCCCGTCAGAATAGTATTACGTTGCAGATCGACACCACCTATTGGTGGAACTGCACATGACCACTCGAAAACTTTACAGTTCCCTTTCGGTCACTCTCGACGTCACGTCGGATGACCGACAAATTTGGATCTCGCTTAGAGAGACCAATCTTCTTCGAGTGTAAACTAAACGAGCCAATGCGCATTGGCATGCGATTATTGCATCCAGCTGCCGCTGATCACAGCGTGAGTATAAGTAGGCAGCAGATGCAGCGCATATTCAGCTTTTCGCTTCGGAGCCAAGCGATCACATCATTCTGCTCCTGACTACTCTACTGAGAGAAGAAGACTGAACGAGTTCAGCGTACTCTTTGAGAGCTCGTCGTGTTGGCGGTATGGCGCTTCAGCGTTGGTGGTTCCCGTGTCGAGTGGGTTGCACACATCAGGCTGCACTACCCCCTGTTTGTGTTGCAGGCGGCCATCTCTCCTGTGCGCCTCAGCACGCTAAAAGAGCTTTTTCCCTAAAAGAGCAATTTCGGGTGCGTCTTTTTAAAGACGACGTTGCGTGGCAAACTTGACGTTACGTCT